TAAGGATTTTCATTTCAAACTCATAGCATTATAAATATTTTAAGAAACTTTAATTCTAAATTAATTGTATACAGTTGGACTAAACATTCTCCAGCAAGTGTTATGCACGAATCTTATTAAATATGATTCTGAGAATTTTACATCTCTTTTATTACTGTTTGGAGCCCTCCCTTTCAAAGTAGGCAGAGATTGGAATAAAAATGAGAATTTGATTTAAAGTACAAGGACAATATTCTAATTGGTGCAACTTCTCTATAGCTGACTTTTTTATCACTCATGATACTCATTTATTGATGTTTCATAGGAATTTTTTAATATTATTTTCTGGGCTCATTAGTTATGTTTAAGATGTCATATTTTCAAATATTCACAATAATGAAATGTAACTCTTTTCTAACTTTTAGTGTTATAAAATATATCCTAATTATTGGATTTAAAATGTAGAATATATTGGGGCCCACCTGGTAACATAGAGGTTAAGGTGGTGGACTACACTTTGGTGGCCCAAGGTTTGTGGGTTTGGATCCTGGGCATGGACCTACACACTGATCATTGAGCCATGCTATGGGAGAGTCTCACATACGAAATAGAGGAAGATTGGCACAGATGTTAGCTCAGGAACAATCTTCCTCAAGGAAAAGAGGAAGATTGGCACAGATGTTAGCTCAGGGCCAATCTTCCTTACCAAAACAAATAAATACATAAAAAGTAGAATATAGAAGGAAGAATATCAGACTGTGAACTAGAGTACTTACACATTTGTCTAATCTGCCACTGACTAGCATTGTGACTTTGAGATTATTTAAACTTCCCTCGATCAATTTTCTTACATATAAAATGATGGGGTTGAACGAGCTGAACCAACATTGTCTCCAGAATGATAATCCTACTATGCTATTATTCAACTCTAATTCAGCATAACTATAAATGAATCCATAAAGAAAACAAATATGTGATAATTTTAAATTACTGAAACTCATTTTTGTCATGAAATCAGACATAGTTGGCAAGAATTATTATTTTTTCCTTTGATGGAAATTTAAATCTAAGGTTATACCTACATACATCCCCAAATATAATTTATTTTTTATCTTTTTATAATTTTTTGAATATGCAATTATGAAACATTTTAGGCATACAAGAAACCAGAGAATAAATGTAACAGACATCTACATTGATGCCAATGAGATTAAACACTTTAAAATCTAAGTATAATCTGAAAACAAAAAAAAAATGTCAGCTGTTATTTAGTTCTTTTTTCTCCTATTATTCTTCACTAAATTAGACACTTATTTTACTGTCCTGAAGAAACCACTTAACAGTGGCAAGTTAACTCCTTGAATTTGTCAATCTGCAAAAATAGACACCAGAAGCAAAGTGTTTATTTGGGATACAAGAATTGCAATTCAGGGAGCACAGATTCAGGCAGAAACTCAAACAGTGTCCCACTAGGGAGTAAAAGTCAGAGGCTTTTAAAGGCACAGAAGGGAGGTTGTATTCCAAAATTTTAATTGGAGCTGGAGGCAGAGAGCTAGTCTTGGCTAAACATTGAATGACTATTGATTCTATCTTCAGAAAATCCATAACCACGAGTTTTTCAGATCAGAATGTCCATTTGTTTGTTAACTTCTCAAATAATTGCCCAGGGGCCAGCCCCGTGGCTGAGTGGTTAAGTTCGTGCGTTCCACTTTGGCAGCTTGGGGTTTCACTGATTTGGATCCTGGGAGCCGACTCGGCACTGCTCATCAGGCCATGCTGAGGCAGCATCCCACATAGCACAACCAGAAGGATCTACAACTAGAATATACAACTATGTAATGAGGGGCTTTGCAGAGAAGAAGAAGAAATAAAAGAAAAAAAAGATTGGCAACAGACATTAGCTCAGGTGCCAATTTTAAAAAAGAAAAAAGAATTGCCTGTAAAACAATTGCTATTTTGGCCCAGTCCAAAGGTTTGGTCCAGTCCAAGGATCAAGATAGCAAGATAGGGAGTGGTTGGTGGTACAGTGGTTAAGTTCACATGTTCCTCTTTGGAGGCCCGAGGTTCGCTGGTTTGGATCCTGGGGGTGGACCTATGCACAGCTTGGCATGCCATGCTGTGGCAGGTGTGCCACATAAAATAGAGGAAGATCGGCATGTATGCTAGCTCAGGGACAATCTTTCTCAGCAAAAAAGAGGAGGATTGGTGGCAGATGTTAGCTCAGGGCTAATCTTCCTCAAAAAAAAAAAAAAAGACTGTAAGATATTTTCTCTGGAAAGGCAGCTCTGATTCCATTTTAAAATGGCTCCACTATGGTCAATTTTGACAAACTCTTCAATTTTGTTTTTATTCAGGATAATTTAGGGGTACTCACATGTGTTTGAGATTCTAGGATATACTTTAATAAGCTTCTAAGTGCTAGCATAGCTATCACTAGTGAATAGTTGCCAATTAATTATTATATTCTACTTACATGGACCTCAATAATTGGACAAATCTAAGTATTTTATAGATAGACTTTCTGTCATGCCTTGTATGCTGTTGTGTTTTGTCTCCTGTTTATTGGAAGATCATGGTAACAACACATTTCTTTATGAAGATGTTTCAAATTCTTTTCACTAGGCCTATTTTAATGACTCTCAAGATTATCCATGCTCTTTTCTTTGCTGTTTTGTTTCAAAATCTAATTAATTTTAAAGGTACTGCCACGATACCCAAATTGAGGCTGACTCTTGAAAGGAGACAAATACAATAATTCTAAAAGCTTCTCTTCTCTCTCCTCTTTTTCCCTTTCTCTGTCTTCCTGTTCCTTTTGTTATTCAAGGGCCTGAAATTACACAATTCGAAGGCAACAGAGTGAAAAGAACACCCACCACTTAGTTTCCATTCTTATTTCCTGGTTTCTATTCTTTTAATCACTTTATTTGTTCTTATTTTCTCTTTTTAATGGCAGCTTCAAATAATTTTAACTTTTAAAATAGCATCAATTTATAGATGCTCTTGTTCAGTTTGGCTTTCACTAAGAATCCCAACTGATAGGTATTATTATAGCCATATCAAGCCATTCATTCTGTAGCTAGCCCACTGATTTACTGATGAATCTTTAGGTTTATTTATTAAACTACTAACATTACTAAACTCTTACTGTAAACCAAGCAGTTTGCAAAGCAATTTTGCTAAATCCACAAAGTAATATAACTAACATCATTATGTCTCATTTACTCATGAGAAAACCAAGGCTGAGAGTCTAGGTAATTGCCCAGGTCACAAAGCTTATAAAAAGACAGTTTTTGAATCTGGGGCTATTGAACTCTAGAGTCCACCTAATTTAAGCTACTATACAGCTGTGAGTAAAAAATCATGTGGTTCCTTGTAGTGCCAGGGCGTATCTCCTTGATTTGCGTGTGAAGATGTCATGTGGAAGAAAGTGAAAAATTCCCTGAACAAGGAGGCAATGATCAATTTGCTTGATCAGAAAAGAAAACTATCCTCTATCAATTGTGTAGTAATTTACTCTATCAACCAATTACTCTAAAACATCTTGAAATATTTGAGCAAGGCTCCTCTAAGTGAAGGTTATTTTAATTTTTCTTCCAAAATATTAGCCATGGAAAAGCGACAATAATGCTGGTCATTGTGCATTGCCGAAGTTCCTAAAACAACAAAGATGAGGCATAATACTGTAGAAATCCAACAAGGAGTCAAATGATGTTATGATTATAGTCCCAATTGTACTACTTTGTCATATGTTTTTGGGCATGCAACTCAACATTAATTCATCATCTGTGAAATGGAGTAAATAACTTCTGCCACACAAGATTTTGTGAAAAACAGTGAATTAGAAAATGCATGTAAAAATGCCGTATAAAGAAGATATCCAACTTGAAGTCAGTATAAGTATTGAAAAAGTGGCGTTAGCAGTAAGAATTGTTTTTTTTAACCTAAGTTTTGGAAATATACATTAAACTGAAGACACTTTATAAATCATAATTATTATCACAGAGTACATAGATACCAAGCTTATAACCTACCTGCTTCTTTGTGTTTAAAATAGGACCAGATTTCATTGCTGTTTTTAGAATAATCATATTAATGTATATATAAATTTGAATTACATTGTTTTATTTTTAATCTATAGATCAATAGACCTATGAATGTGTAGCCATCATAGTAAATATTATTTTATTTGAGAAAAATCTGCCTAAGTATACTTTGAAAGTTTCTTTTCATCTTAAAAGGTCTACAATAGGATGGTTTCCATAATGGATATCACCATGCCTAAGAAGTTTTTCCAGCTGCTGGTTTTTAATTTGATTGTGACTGAAATTGTTCTAAGTGGGAATGTGTTAATTTGGCCAACAGATGGTAGTCATTGGTTAAATATTAAGATCATTTTGGAAGCGTTGATTCAAAGAAATCACAATGTGACTGTACTGGCTTCATCAGCAACTCTATTCATCAAATCCAGTTCTGAACTTCCTGTGAATTTTGAGGAGATACCTGTTTCCTACAAGAAGAGCAATATAGATTCCTTAATTGAACATATGATAATGCTGTGGATAGACCATAGACCAACTCCTCTCACACTCTGGACCTTCTACAAAGAACTAGGAAAACTCCTAGATACTTTTTTTCAAATTAATATACAAATCTGTGATGGAATATTAAACAACCCCAAGTTAATGGCAAGACTTCAGAAAGGTGGTTTTGATGTATTGGTCTCAGACCCAGTAACAATCTGTGGGGACTTGGTTGCTCTGAAATTAGGAATTCCATTTATGTACACATTGAGGTTCTCTCCAGCCTCAACAGTGGAGAGACACTGTGGGAAAAATCCAGCACCTGCCTCCTATGTACCTGCAGCTCTGTCAGAGCTCACTGATCAGATGACCTTTGGTGAAAGGGTCAAAAATACCATATCTTATTCTCTGCAAGATTATATATTTCAATCCTACTGGGGAGAATGGAATTCGTACTACAGCAAAGTTCTAGGTAAGTCTCTAAAATAATCTCTTATTAATGACTCTACATAGCTTATTTATTCTTATTGGTAATAGAGCAAAATATTTACATCCCACTGCATATGCCAAGCTGAAGTAAATGTACTTACTATGTCTTCATACGAGTCTCTGATCCTTCTCTTTGGAAAAATTTCTAAAAAATGAAATGGTAATAATATGTATGCTATTGTTTCAATGCAAATAATCTTGTGCTTATTTAGGTCATAGCTTATCAATGTGTACATCGATCTTCAAACAGAAATGAAAGTATCTTTGCAAGAATAAATTATGACACGGCCAAAAAATACCCTGGCAAACATTTCGAAGTGATATATGATTTACTTTCCTTCCTTCATTCTTCATTCTTTTCTTTGTCTCCAGAAAACTTCAAAAAGCCTAGGATTGAGCATTGGAAACCTGACTTTATACTCTCCTTTGCGTCTCACTATGTCTCCATCCTTAGGCTCTTCTGGGTGCTTGGGCTAGCACTGTCTCCAGCTTAAATTTCTCAGTATCCTTTGGCAATCCTCAAGTTTCCTTGCCTTGAAGATTCCTTATGAGGATCAAACAAAATAATGCAAACTGTCAAGGCCAGTTCTGGTTGGTCATTTATATTACTTTCCTTTATGACCTTCATGAGCCTTCCTTCATTTCTTTCTCTATTTTTTTCTCTCCTGAATGCTTTTTCTTTAGACCTATGAGTAGTACCAGCGATATTAATTAACAGCAGGAATTAACAGTTGATGCTACCAATGCTACTTTCTTACAAAGGTAATATGCAAAATATTGTCCTTTTCCACATCTTTCTGCCTTCCTCCCTTCATTCCTTTCATCCTTTCTTCCTTCTTTTGTGTAATAAACTATTTATTCAATACCAACTCAGTACCTGCCACTTTTCTAGGTACTAGGAATACAACAGTTAGCAAAACAGACCAAAATATACTCTACCACCATGAAGCGTACATTCTAGTAAGAGGATGCAGACAATAAATAAAATGTATAGGATGTTAGACTGCGATATATGCTATATAGTAAAATAAGAAGAATAAATATTTCTGAGAGTAGGGTTACACTTTTAAATAAGGTGTCCAGGGAAGGTCTCAAATGAAAGAGTGACATTCAAACAAAGATCTGAGGGGAGTGAGGGTGAGAACGGATAGGATCGCTGGAGGAAAAGCATTCCAGGCATAGATAAGAACAGATTCAAAGATCAGTGGCAAGTCATAGATGCAGGAGTATCTTTCCTGTAACTTGACCTTAACCTTACCTCTCACAAGTAGAAATCGTGTAATTTTTTTCCTGGATTTTGGAATGTTCTTCATCTAATTTTCCATCACTTAAACTTATAAACTTCTTTATAGAATTGGTCTAGAGGGAAGATATTGAACATATCATACATATAAATAAAATATACACAGTGTATTTAAAATTTGTATATACTTTTGATGATATGGTAAGTAGAATTTTGAAAGTAAAATTCTGTATTTTTATATTCATTATAATGCAACGTAACCATATTTCCTTTTTCTCTGGATTCTAAATTTCATATGTCTCAAAAACATATTTTGCTTTAAATTTAGATGTTATTTATATGATTATTTCCCAAGACATTTTAAATGTGTTCTATGATAATTATCTCTGCCCATATATGTATCACATACCAACTATTGCAGGTATTGAATGAAATAATCTACATTCCTTAAATAAGGGAATCAGAAAAACTAAGATGGTGAAGGGTCTTGGAAAGCACACGAGGTTCTGGGTTCAAGTTTCAGTTGCTGACTGTGTGATATCAGGAAAGTAACTTAAATTCTGCATCACAGCACTTCCTCCTCTGTAAAATGAGGCAATTATTTCACTGGACTCTTGAGTATGATCATATAACACCATATATGTGGATATGCTATGTCAACGATAAAGAATTATGTTTACTTTGAATATTATTTACACCTAACTACACAAGAACGCTGCAATGACAAATCCCTAATTACACGACCATGGGGCTCTGCACACAGACAATGAACATCTGCAGAAAACAGATGGCCTCTGGGGTGTACTAAATCTGCGTTCTCAAAGGAAACCAAGACAAATTATATAATGTGTGGAAAAGCCTTTGTAAAACAGAATGTTCCTGACTTCTCATTTTCACAGCATAACAATCTAATTTCCAAATCTCACCTTTTGAAGAACTGAATATCTTGTTTACCTAAATCCTTTATGCTCCTCGTGTTACTAAAGGTATTTGAACAACAAATAACTACAATGAATATTTTGTTCATCTATAGGAAGAACTGGTATAATCCAGTTTGTCTTTGTTTGCAATTACATTCTTAAAGTATTAAGGACACCTGGTAACTGTAAACTGACACTGAAATAGGTCAGGTACCTCATATTTGATAGCATTATCAAATACAGAAGAACACAAACGGTTTAGTAATATGTCAAGTTTCTGTGGAGTGTCTATTTCATGGCTGTTCTTCAGTTCTGTGGGAAAAATAGACTAGAACAATAACATGTTTAACTGTGGTAAAGAAAAGCCCCAAATATTTATGAGGGCGGAAATAGAAGTAAGTAACAAGGAAATATCTAACTGCACTGACTAAAAACCCTGTTTTATTTTTCAGTAAGGAGATCTTAAATCTTATGGATCAAGCAAATAAAAATGATCATTAATTCAATTTTAAATTTGCTTCTAAACACCTAATGGAACAGGCGTACCTGAGAATATGACAATCATTGCTATTCACATCCCGGAGAGAATCTATTAATAAATCTTGCCCAGGCCAAGTGTTCTGCTGAACACCTTGAAATTGCACTTAAACTGATCTGTCTCCTAACCTCTAAGAGATCTGATGTACAGGACGTAGGTAGTTCTCATGGGGGTAGGATTTGGCTCTAGTCTCTGCTGCAGCTTTGGGAAGGCTGAGGGCTTGAACGCTGTAGTAAAAATAGTTAAACAAGTAAGGCAACCTGCTGTCCCCATTTTGTCTGTGTCTTTTGGTTTCCTGATCTGTCTCCATCTTTCCCAGTGTGCTGCAGATCACGACAGCAGAAAGCTCAGGACTAATTTATATAACACTTGGCCAGTGTAGCCTACTTTTATCTGTCAGTACCATGTTGGTTCCATGTTGGTCCCTCTTTCCCTGCTGCTAAATGTTAGATGGATTCCCTAGAAATAATGCTACCTTTCCCCACCCCTTGAAAAAAACAAACAAGCCTCAACATTTCACTTCTACCCCACTTGCCTGGAACTGAGCTAGATTAATCTTAACATTTTTTATATCTGATCTCTGACTCTCTTTCTGAACCCAGTGTTTTCGTTTGTCTGTTTTTCTGCATCCCACTCCCATTCTAATCCTCATTGCTCACCTCCCATCCTTTCCCTGGAAAGCCTGGATCTCTCTGTTAATCTTCCCTCATATAAGGCTTCTAAGTCCTTCTCACGTGCGGCTTTCCTACGGTCAGTGTTGTGAGGTTTTTAAAATTCTGTGTAACCTTTCTTCTGAAGTCAAACATAGCCATAAAGGTTACAGCTCACTGAAGTTTCACAATGTAAACCCACCTATGCAACCAACACCCAAATCAAGAAAGAAAACATTGTTACACCTTTGACTCCTCCTCCTTTCTCATATCAATCCCTGCAAATTCCATCTAAGGGTAACCACTTTGTTGATTTCCAATGCCATAGATGAATTTTACCTGGTTTTAAATTTTGTATAAATGAGCCACACATTATGTACTCTTTTGTATTTTGCTCTTTTGCTTAACATTGTTTTTATATTCATCCAAGGTGTTGCATGTGGGTAGTCTGTTCATTCTCATAGCTATATAGATTCAATGGAATCTATATATGCCACATTTTATCTATCCATTTTGCTGTTGATGAACATGTAGACTATCTTGATTTTGGCTATTTATGATAAACACTGCTATGAACATTCTTGCGCATGTCTTTTGGGGAATTACATACACCATACTGTTGGGTATACATGTAAGATTGGAATTGCTAGGTCATAGGGTGTGCATATGTTCAGCTTTAGTAGATACTGCTAAAATCTAGTTTCTCAAGCACTCATGCCATTAATAATCTCACTAGTCATTTACTAAGATTCCAATTATTCTCCATTCTTACCAACACTTTTTTTTTAATTGTAACCATGCTATTGATGTGTACTGTTATTCATTATTTTTCTTTTAAGGGCTGATTTTCATATGGTAAAAAAACACATAAAATATGCAATATGGTATGTTTTTTCAAATATATGCACCTTTGTAACCAATGCATCAATCAATCTCTGGGATCGCTTTCTAACAAAGCTGCTCTCCAAGACCTTTTCAGACACTTAGAGTTGATAACTCCTTCCAATTAGTTTTCCTTCTTCATTCTGATTCACTTTCATTTTTCTTTTATGGGGCTTTTAATGCATCCTCTAATTATTTTAACTGTAAAGTAATATGATTATATTGTCACTAGTGTTCAATTTGTGATCCATCAAGCATCTCTGCTCTAGTTCTCTACTTAGTGATTCTACAGCTAATGCCTTTGCTAATTGTACCATCTTCATCATTAACTTAATAAATAGCTGCTTTTACTAAACACCTACTTGGTACCAAGAGCTTTGATAAATCCATTGAAGAAATTATTCCTAATCCATACACACAAAGAAACAACCAAGAATGATCATTATCTTTTACACATGAGGCATCAAGACTCAGAAAGATTTAGTAACCTTGCTGAGCTCACAAAATATGTAACCAGATAAGATCCTAAGATCCTGGTTCCAAGGAATAAGCCACTCTATGACTACAGAATTTTAATTTTAGAAGTAATAAATAGGGAAGAGAAAGAGACAGGTCTGCTCAACTCCCTCCCATACTTTGTTTGGTGATTTGGTGTTTCCTATGAGCATTCTCTCATCCAACTTTCCTGAAGGCACTACCATGACATCCTTTTAACTTGACACAGTTCTTTTTGCAAGTTGAAAGGCTGACTATTTTGTTACAAACTCTCTGTGTTGTCATAGAGGAGTGTATGGTTCTAAGTTTGCAGAACTTTGCTCTCCCGTGTACAAGGCTGCATCCTCAGGGAAGAGCATGCCAGGCCCCAGTGTCCTAGGCCCTTCCTGCCTGTTCACATTGCCAGAGGAATTTAGAAAGACTCTCAATCTGCTCCTGAGGAGGAAAATAACTATTGCTGTCTTTACTACAGTTAAGTGCAAATATTTAACTTTAACATTTAGTATAATTAAGTGCAATTATTTATTTTAAAATGACCTTTTTATTGAGTCTCCATTTCAAGAATATATTATTTCTTTTAACTTTTAAAGAGCATCTTTGGTGTCTTCTGGAGTGTTTACCTGTGTTTCTCATTTCACCTTTTGCATATTTGTTGTTAAATTTTAGTCAAATGATTTAACTTGTTTTGTTGTTGTTGGCATTATAAATGGTTTTTCTCTTTAATTTCTCTTTTACAGATCATCATTTGTACGCATTAATCCTAATTATCACTTAATTTTAATTTTGTATCCTACGTTTGTTTTTATTTTCTTGTGATTTCCAGTAGTTTTCCAGATACACATTCATAAAACTGCTACTAGAAATAGATTATATCTCATTTTTTAATTCTTATGTCACTTCTCTTGCCTAATTTTATTTCTGATAAATTCAAAGACTTATTTGATACTAGTGAAGAGAGTCGCCTTTATCTTTTATTTTTAAATTCAGTTGAAATGATTCTAAATTTTACTCAATTAACTTGCTCATTTATGAGTCATGTTAAGAAAATATCAATTCATTCCTAATACACGTAGTGTTTTCTTTTGTAAATCAGAATTGTGTCAAATTTTGTCACTTTTTTTTTCTACCAGTAGTAAGAGTTATATAATTTTCTAGTTGGGTTAATAGATGAATTATATAAATGGATATCTCATTACTGAATTACTACTGGAATGATTTTACAATCATTTTTGTACATATTGCTAATATTTTACTGATTATATTTGCATTGATGGATGAAATATGGGATAGAAATAGAAAAAAATTCACTTGTGTGCAATCTCTTTAATGTTTTGGAATCATATCATAGACATTTTATGAAAATAATCCTTAAGTTTTCCTTCTTTTCCCACACTTGTAAGACTTTAAAAGCTTTGTTATTGTCTGATATTTTAAGGTTTAGTATAATTTTCTTTTTTCTCTAGATTTATTGAGATAAAGTGGACATATAATATCGTGCAAGTTTAAGATGTACAAAGTAATGATTTGATATATGAATATATTGCAAAATGATTACCACAATAAGGTTAGTTAGCACATCCATCATCTCATGTAGTTACAGTTATCTTGTGTATGCGGTGAGGACTTTTAAAAGCTACTCTTTTAGCAACTTTTAAATATAATGTAAAGTATTTTTAACTGGAGTCACCATGCTGAATATTAGATCCCCAAAACTTATTCATCTTATAAATGGAAACTTACACACTTTGACCAACATCTCCCTGTTTCCCCCACACCCAGCCCCTGGCAACCACCATTCTGCTCTTTGCTTCTATGAGTTTGGCTTTTTTTTTAGCTTCGACATGTAAGTGAGGTCATTCAGTATTTGCCTTTCTCTGTTTCACTTATTTCACTTAGTGTAATGCCCTCAAGTTTCATCCATGTTGTTGCAAATGGCAGAATTACCTTCTTTTTCATGGCTGATTTATATTCCATTGTCTGTGTGTATACATATATGTGTATATAGACGCACACATATATATGCCACATCTTCTTTATGCACTCATCCATCAGTGGACACTTAGTTTGCTTCTGTATCTTGGCTATGATGAATAATGATGCAATGAACATGGAAGTACAGATATCTCTTTGTGATAATGGTTTTATCCTTTGGATATATACTCAGGACTAAGATTGCTGGATCATATGTTGGTTCTACTTTTAATTTTTTGAGAAAATACCATACTTTTTTACATAGTGACTGCACCAATTTACATTCCCACCAGCCGTGTACAAGGGTTCCATTTTCTCCACATTCTTTCCAAAATTATCTCTTGTCTTTTTAATAACTATTTTAGCAGGTGTGAGGTGGTATCTCATTGTGGTTTAGATTTGCATTTCTTTGATGATTAGTGATTTTGAGCACCTTTTCATGTGCCTCTTGGTTGTTTGTACGTGTTTTTCAGAAAAATATCTATTCAGGTCCTCTATTTTTTAATTCGATTATTTGTTTTTGTGCTGTTGAATTATATGAATTCTTTAGGTATTTTGAATATTAACTGCTTATCAGATATGTAGTTTTCAAATATGCTCTCCCATTTGTACATTGCCTTTTCATTTTGTTGATTATTTCCTTTGCTTACAGTAGATTTTTAGTTTGATGTAGTCCCACTTATTTATTCTTGCTTTTGTTGTTTGTGCTTTAGGTGTCATATCCATAAAACCATTGCCATGACCAATATCAAGGAGATTTTTTGTCTATGTTTTCTTCTAGTTTTATGATTTCAGGTCGTATATTTGTCTTCGATGCATTTTGAGTTAATTTTTTTTATTGCAGTAACATTGGTTTATAACAGTATATAAATTTTTCAGCTGTGCATCATTATATTTCGATTTCTGTGTAGATTACATAATGTTCACTACCCAAAGACTAGTTACAATCTATCACTATACACATGTGCCTAATCACTCCTTTTGCCCTCCTCCTTCCACTTTCCCCTCTGGGAAACATCGATCCAATCTCTGTCTCTATGGGATTGTTTGTTGTTGTTTTTATCTTCTATTTATGAGTGAGATCGTATATTAATTGACTTTCTCACTCTGACTTATTTTGCTTTGCATAATACCCTCAAGGTCCATCCTTGTTGTCCCAAATAGCAAGATTTTATCCTTTTTTATGGGTGAGTAGTATTCCATTGTTTATATATACCTCATCTTCTTTATCCATTTGTGCCTTGATGGGCACCTAGGTTGCTTCCAAGTCTTGGCTATTGTGAATAATGCTGCAATGAACATATGGGTGTGTGTATCTTTACACATTCGTGTTTTCATGTTCTTTAGATAAATACTCAACGGTGGAATAGCTGGGTTATATGGTAGTTCTATTCTTAAATTTTTGAGGAATCTCCATACTGTTTCCCATAGTGGTCGCACTAGTTTGCACTCCTACCAGCAGTGTATGTGAGTTCCGTTTTCTCCCACATCCTCTCCAACACTTGTTATTTCCTGTTTTGATAATTGTACCCATTCTGAAAGGTGTGAGGTGACCTCTTATTATAGTTTTGATTTGCATTTTCCTGATAATTGTTGATGTTGCACATCTTTTCATGTGCTTATTGGCCATCTGTATATCTCCTTTAGAGAAACGTCTGTTCAGATCTTTTAACCATTTTTTAATTAGGTTGTTAGTTCTTTTATCATTGAGATGTATGAGCTCTTTATATATTTTGGGTGTTAACCTCTTACCAGATATATGGTTTGCAAATATCTTCTCCAAATTGTTAGGTTGTCTTTTCATTTTGTTGATGATCTCCTTTGCTGTGCAGAAGCTTTTTAATTTGATGTAGTCCTGTTTGGGTTTTTTTTCTATTTTTTTCCTTGTCTAGTCAGACATCGTTCTTGAAAATATGCTGCTAAGACTGATGTTGAAGGGTGTACTGCCTATGTTTTCTTAAAGAAGTTTCATGGTTTTAGGTCTTACATTCAAGTCTTTAATCCATTTTGAGTTAATTTTTGTCTATGTTGTAAGATAATTGTTTACTTTCCTTCTTTTGCATGTGGCTGTCCAGTTTTCCCAACACCATTTATCGAAGAGACTTTCTTTTCTACAGTGTATGTTCTTGGCTCCCTAATAGAAAATTAGCTGTCCATAGATATGTAGGTTTACTTCTGGGCTCTCAATTCTGTTCCATTGATCTGTGTGCCTATTTTTGTGTCAGTACTATGCTGTTTTGATTTCTATTGCTTTGTAGTATATTTCAAAACCAGGGAGTGTGATACCTCCAGTTTTGTTCTTTTTTCTCGAGATTGCTTTTGCTCTTCTGGGTCTTTTGTTGATCCATATAAATTTTAGGATTCTTTGTTCTATTTCTGTGAAAAATGTCATTGGAAATTTGATAGTGATTGCATTCAATCTGTGGATTGCTTTAGGAAGTATGGGCATTTTAACTATGGTAATTCTTCCAATCCAAGAGCAGGGAACATCTTTCCATTTCTTTGTGTCTACTTCAATTTCTTTCAACATTTTATAGTTTTCAGTGTATAGGTCTTTCACCTCTTTGGTTAAATTCATTCTTAGATATTTTATTCTTTTTCTTGCAATTGTAAATGGGATTGTATTTTTGATTTCTTTTTCTGCTACTTCATTGTTAGGGTATAGAAATGCAACTGATGTTTGTATGTTGATTTTGCATCCTGCAAATTTACTGTGTTCATTTATTATTTCTAAAACTTTTTTGGTTTATTCTTTAGGGTTTTTTAATATATAAAATCATATCATCTGCAAATAGTGACAGTTTCACTTGCTTTTTTTTTCCAATTTGGATCCCTTTTATTTCTTTTTCTTGCATGATTGTTCCAGCCAGGGCTTCCAACACTTTGTTAAATAAGAGTGGTGACAGTGGGCATCCTTGTCTGGTTCTTGTTCTTAGAGGGATAGCTTTCAGTTTTCCTCCATTGAGAATATTAGCTGTGGGTTTATCATACAGGATCTTTATTATCTTGAGGTACTTTCCTTCTATACCCATTTTATTCAGAGTTTTTATTATAAATGAATGCTGTGTCTTGGCAAATGCTTTCTCTGCATCTACTGAGATGATCATGTGATTTTTATTCTTTATTTTGTTAATGTGGTGTAGCACATTGATTGATTTGTGGATGTTGAAACATACCTGCGTGCCTAGAATAAATCCCACTTGATCATGGTGTATGAGCTTTTTAATACATTGTTGTATTCGATTTGCTACTATTTTGTTGAGGATTTTTGCATTGATGTTCATCGGTGATATTGGGCTATAGTTTTCTTTTTTTTGTGTTGTCCTTGTCTGGTTTTGATATCAGGATAATGTTGGCTTCATAGAATGAACTAGGAAGGTTCCCTGCCTCTTCAGTTTTTTGGAAGAGTTTGAGAAGGATAAGTATTAAGTCTTCTTTGAATGTTTGGTAGAATTCACCACGGAAGCCATCTGGTCCTGGACTCTTACGT